CAGTATGTAGGAGTTCACGCAGGTGGGCTAAAGAGGGAGAATGAAAGCAGCAAAAAGCGGATGTCTTAATTCTTGATTCAAAGTTCAATATTAAATGAAGGAGGTGGTGTGCATGATTAGATGCTTTGTAAATGTGGCTGGAACCTAAAATTAAACAAGTAAAGCAAGTGTTTCTGTGAAGGAGGAGCGGGGGAGGAGTGATGATCGGGGACCAGGGGCCAGAGGACGCTACCGGCGGCCACGTGGGCGGCCCGCGCCGTTGCCGCCAACCCCCGCTGGCCTGCGATCTTGGCGCTTGCGGGTCGCCGTGGCGCGGGGTCGGGCTGTGGGGAGTGCGGCCTGGGGTCTCGAGACATTCGGAGCCAGGACGCGCGGGGCCTGGGGTTGCGGGCTCGGGCCCGGGGTCTGCGGGTGCCTACGCGACCTTGGCGCGGCCCCACCGCCCAGTCTTCTGGGTCTCGTGTTCACTTCGCCGCTCTCCGAGGACGCAGGCCGGTTTCCTCCGGCTCGGCCCCCATGCGGGCTCCCGCCGAGCTCGTGCATCCCTCCCTCTGTGGTCTGCGCCGCGCTCCATTCATTCTGGCCTAACCCCGGACGGCCACGGCCTCTGCGGTCCGGGGGGGTCCTGGCCGGGCGGACCCGGGGTGGGGGCGGCTTTGTTGGCAGCGGCTGTCTCCTTGCGGAGCTGGCCGCGCGCAGAGCCGCAGTGCCGTCCGACCCAGGAAAGCGGCGAGAGGCTTATCTTTTCTTTCTCGGCTTCAATCTGGTTATGAAGTGTCCGGGTTTCTTACAGTTTTGTGGATCAAAGCCGCGTGTTCTGTACCTGAAATAAGATCCTTTGTGTCCTCTCTAAAGCGGGCCAGAATTTTACGGCTCTTAATTCTATGGCTCTTTTGATTGTAATTTCCGAAACAAGGTAAAGTTTCGGGCAGAACTGCGAATTGCTTGTAAAAACTGGCAGTCCCCAACTTTTTCGTCTGGTAAGCAAGACCACACGTTTTTCTCAACCGGTTGCTTTTTGCTTTCATTGTAACACTGTCCTCTTCGGCCCATCATTGCGCCCTTTCATCTAAACTGGGCCATATCGGTATCTGACAGCACTGAGGCTCAAAGACATGGGGCGGGTTTCCCCCAGGCCACTTGCTCGGTAGGTGGCTGAGTTTTGGGAACCCCAGTCAGTTGTGATGGATGCATCCTAGGGGAGGAGGGTGCTGAAGCCCAGCGTGTCTCACCATGTGCTGGGCCGACATGTAAACCTTTCCTAGTGTGAAAGGCTGGAGGCGTCATCTCTTGCTTTGTGGTGAGGCCATTCGCTGGTGAGGATGCCCACTTTGGACACTGGTGAGCCCTGGCTTTCGGGCCATCAGTCAAAACTCTCCACCCCTCCCTCCACAGGACACCCATGAGGACCATGATACCTCCACTGAGAATGCAGACGAATCCAACCACGACCCTCAGTTTGAGCCTATAGTTTCTCTTCCTGAGCAAGAAATTAAAACCCTGGAAGAAGATGAAGAGGAACTTTTCAAAATGTAAGTAACGGATCCTGTTACAAAAGTAGATATCTTTCGTTTGAGATGGAATTTGTGCTTTTTGTGGGTGCCCAGGCCTTGGCTTGACCTATCACTGGACCGAGACTGAAGAAAGGGCCTGGAATTGTGTGATGACTAATCAGGGCTGCTATTGCAACCCACTTATTACATAATTTATTACTGGGTACCCCTGCTGCTCTGTGGCCAGTGCTGCGGAGGGCACAGGCACTCCCTGGTGTCCTGTGGCTGTTCTCTATCCACAAAGATGCATCTCCCCATGTCCCGCCGACTCCCACAGCCCCTTTCCCTGGGTTGAGCAGGGAGTCTACTGTTATTATTATCTTTTATTATTAGTAGTAGTATTTTGCACATGGACTTTAGTATTCTGAAGCTTGTGAATTCTTTTTTTTTTTTTAACCTTGACCAGAATCGAACCTGGGACCCTTCAGTCCACAGGCCGACGCTCTATCCACTGAGCCAAACCAGTCAGGGCATGAATTCTTGATTCGTTGTGTTTAACGCACAAAACAATTACAAACCAAAATGGGTGGTGTTACAGTCACGGGTTACTTTTTAAAAGTTACTCTGAATGTGCTTCTTGGCACCTTCAGTGAGAAGCTACAAGGCATTGTTTTTGGAGGCGGGGTGCGGGTTAGTGTTGTTTGGAAGCAGTGCCTACACGAGCAATGTGTTGTTGAGATGTCTGACCTGTGGCCTATTGGGCATGCTCAGAATTGCAGGAAATGCTACAAGTTAATGAGAGTAGGGTGTAGTGTGTCCCTAGTCCAAGTGTGTGGACCTCCCCGCTCCCCAAACCTATCCAAGATACTGGGTTATGGTTTGAGTGCTTTGCTTGAGGTGGTGGCAGGGAGCAGAGGCAGTCACCAACCCTGGGACCCATCCCTTTAAGGAAGGGAGCCTGGGGAGACCAACTCCCAAGGACCTGGGAAAGGGTTGGGAAGCACAAGAGACTCGGTTGGGAAGTTTGTAAGGAGGACATTCTGATAAAAAGGAAGTGTGTGCCCTGTTTATCAGAATTCCGACTTACAGGAGTGTCAAAGGCGGCGCCTCTAATTATTCCTTGACCTTTTCCAAACAAGTCTGCTTATGCAGACCCCCTAAAACTCAACTGAGTGTTTACTGGAATCCTTATGCTTAATCCCTGGATGCCCTTGCCTAGAGGACAGTGTAAACACGTGTCCTACCAAGAGTACTCACCCTACTGATTGCATAAAAAAATTCCAATAAAGCTTAAGGAGGCAGGCAAGCCCCTGAGCCCTCTCCCCCACAGTCAGACTGTGTCGGAATAATCTGTTCACCCGTCATTCAGGGGCTGCTGGTCAGTCCCGGCAGGAAGGAGGAGATGAATATGCCCCTTTGATTTCAGAAGGTGGTTCTCCAAGTCTCTGCTCTGCCCAGAAATGATGCTGCAGCCAGGGCTGGCTGCTCCCACGAGTGAGGTCTGCTGGTGGTGCTGTTACTGTCACCTCCTTGTCCCTGCGGGGGGTGGGAGGTCCTCTTGGTGTCTTAGACACAGGCCCTTCCTGAGGGAAGTGAGGCCAGCAAGTCTGACCTTTGTATGTGGCCCTTAGGGCTCTAGGTCAGTGGTCGGCAAACTCATGAGTCAACAGAGCCAAATATCAACAGTACTTCTTCAAAATAGATTCGCCCAGGCCGAAAACCGACTTCCGCGCATGGGCTACGCCGAAGTTTCAATCGCACTGTACGTGTGCGCCCGCACGTGGTATTTTGTGGAAGAGCCACACTCAAGGGGCCAAAGAGCCGCATGAGTGCTGCAGTTTGCCGACCACGGCTCTAGGTCAAAGCCCTGGGGGCGTCCTTGTGAGAACATGCCTCCCTTAACAGAGTTGAGTTTAGGGAAAGAGCAGAATTTCTGCAGAAAAGGGAACAACAGAGCTGGGATCCTGTGGGGAAGCAAAACGGGCAGGTGTGGTTGGTGATGGGAGGATGTTGGCCTGAGGCCTAAGGAGGTCTGCTGGGCTCAGGGCTGTGGTGGCGGCCTTGCCTGGGCCCAGTGAGGTACTGTTCTGGGCAGGAAGACAGGGTATTGGGCCAGAGCCTGGTGGTCTGGTGGGGGCTGGGGAAGCACAGGGGGCATCTCACAGCTGAGGGAAAGGTTGGCCCTGTGGAAGGCAGGGGTCCTTGGCCTCCATCTGCTTCCATGCTGTCCCTGTGGCCCCACGGGTCACCAGGAAGTCCCGTACCGTCTTCACAGACACGCTCAGCAGACTCAGGTGAGCTATTTTGCTGATGGGTCAGGTCTTTCTGTTAGAAAATGTGACTGGCCCTAGTCGGTTTGGCTCAGTGGATAGAGCATCGGCCTGCGGACTGAAGGGTCCCAGGTTCGATTCTGGCCAAGGGCACAGGTTTGGGTTGTAGGTTCGATCCCCCCGAGTAGGGGGCATGCAGGAGGCAGCCGATCAATGATTCTCATTATTGATGTTTCTCTCCCTCTTTGAAAAAAATTTTTTTTAAAAAAAGGAAAAGAAAACGGTGTGACTGTAGAAATCTTTTATTCTTTTTTATCGTCATGTTAAAACTTGGAATTTGCTTTTTTGCTCTTTTGGTGACATTTTAGTTTGTAGTTCTTGGAGTACAAAGAAAGGAAAGGGTGTACGTTTGAGACATCAGGTACAGCTGTTTGTTTAACACCCAGAAAAGAAGTGCTTTTTCCATCAAAAGGTGGGTGCCTTTTGTCTGGTACCTTTTCTGTGTATCTAAGCTCTCACGTAATGGCTTTTCTCGAAGGCGGGCAAAGCTGTTTCGATTCGCTTCAGAGAACGATCTCCCAGAATGGAAGGAGCGAGGCACCGGCGACGTGAAGCTCCTGAAGCATAAGGAAAAGGGGACCATCCGCCTCCTCATGAGGAGGGACAAGACCTTGAAGATCTGCGCCAACCACTATAGTAGGTGGCCTCTCGGGGGTGTTTTCCTTCTGGGCCCGACACTGCATCGGGGCAGCTTCCGACCTGTGGGCAGCCTGCTTCAGGGCTGCACTGGGACCCAGGAGTGTACCGTCCGCCAGTGCACGTTTACAGTGTGTGTTTTCTTTTAATTTAAACTAGGAAATGAGGTTTTCCAACGTGCCTCAGACCTCAGAGCAGACCTGCAGAGAAGCTTATAGCCCACGGGGGTGTGGAGACTGGGCAGGTGGGACCAAGCGGGATGGAGGCAGAGCCCGTGTGGCCTCGGAACCAGGCTCGGCCTAAGGGCGTGTGAGTGCGTTTGTGTGTGTGCTCACGTGCCTCTGTGTGTGAAGTGCCTGGGCGGCAGCCTTCCCACCCGTTGGTGTGTTCTGTCCCCACGTGGTGTTCCCTGGGGAGGACATGGGATTGGAATGGGGTGGGGAGAAGGTGGCTGCCTCACCCTTAGGAGCCTGGGAAGCGTCACAGGAGTGGGTGGAAGCCCTCGGGCAGGTGTGACAGCGCTGGGCTCAGTGCGGTCGGGTTTTTAGGATTAGCCACCCAAGGCCTGGCCTGTGAAGAGGTGACTGAAGTCAGCGTGTCCTGGACTCCGTTTCTGATCCAGGGCCGTGCTGCCTTTCTGGTGTGATGTGTGTCTGACAGGGCAGGGCCCCTTTGCTCACAGGGTGACTGCTGTCAGGAACCAGAGTGCAATGGCCCGCGGGGGTGATGTGGGGGGTCCTCCTTGTACCACAGTTGCTTCGGCCCCATTCGGCCTCTGTGTGCCAGTCTCCACGTCCCAGCCTGTCTGCTCTTCCCTGTCCTTGCCGATCAGCCCAATTTGAAGTGCCTCCTCAGGGGTCTTCCTGACACTCGTGCTATTTTTAGAGCCTTGCCAGGCTGCTAGGTCACTTCTGTGTGAGTTGCAGGTGAGTCCTGGGCCTGGTGCACACCATAGGCCCCTGGTGGACCCGGCGGTTGATGGGAGGAGGCTGTGCATGCCCTGCGAGGCACACAGGCTCGCCGCTCATCTGGGTGATGATGTGATGTGTTGCCCAGGGCTGGGCTTGGCCTGTCCCGCAGCCCCAGAGACTTCTGCTACTGGTAGACGGCTGGGCATGGCACTGGGGGTGCTTCTGTTCTTTCAGAACAGCTAGTCTCCCTTGGGTCTACGTAGAGCCTGTGGAGATGGGGCAGTTTGCTTATTCCAGGCCATGACTGTGTCTTCCGTGACATGTGACCATGTCACAAGGCTCATAGTGTCCACTTCTGGTAGCCTTGCACCTCCCCGCTGGCCTCCCTTGGCATATATGGCTGAGGTTGGTTGTGTGGTTCTGACTGTGCACCATTCTGGGTGATCGTCCCACTTCTCAGCTTTTGGCCCTCGGATGACCCCCCAACTTCCAAAGAGTCAGGTCCCCAGAAAGGGCTGGGTCTGCCTGTCATTGTGCCCATGTCTCTCCTGGGTCTGGAGGCTGCACCAAGGGGCGGGCTGTGATCAGCTGCATTGGCTTTGGAGCCCTTGATTGATTTAGGGTGTTCCTGGTTTTAAGTGAACATGGGGCATTTTAAAAGAGGTTTGGGTAAATTCCAGAAGGCCCCAAATCATCCCTGTTTGGCCCAAAATGGGACCTTGGGTTGGCAGGCAGAACTGCAGTCCTGGGGTGGCAGGGCCGGGTGGTAAGTTGGCTCTGGCAGTGGGCATTATCCTCATGGCGCTTCTCCTCCAGTCACGCCAATGATGGAGCTGAAGCCAAACGCAGGCAGTGACCGTGCCTGGGTCTGGAATACCCATGCCGACTTCGCTGATGAGCGCCCCAAGCCGGAGCTGCTGGCCATCCGCTTCCTCAATGCTGAAAGTAAGCGGAGGGGGGCGGGTCTCCGGGCGGGCCTGAGTGCTGCCGCCAGTGTTACAATGTAGCAGTTTCTTTTTTTTTTTTAATATATATTTTATTGAATTTTTTACAGAGTAATTGGGAAGCTGTGGTGGGAATTGTTACTACCTTGCTATCTGGTGGGCCCTCAAGGAAGGGATCTAAGTGCAGTCAAGCCAAGCGCTCTTGCGTCCAGGAGCAGTGAGTGCCTTTCCCTCTTCACCTCAAAGGAGGCTGCACTAGCCAGGTTCCCTTCACCGTCACCTGGGTGCCAGCAGGGGCTGTGCTAAGATCCACAGGCTGAGGCTATCTCTCCCCTGCTTGGGTGTCTTAGGCCCAGGTGGTCAAAGCTGTGCCCAGTGGGCCCTGCAGGAGTTGGGTGGGTGCTGGAGCTCAGCGGCCCAGTAGCTCACCATTGGTGTGAGTGAACCTCGCTTCTGCTCTAGAACGGGGCCTATCCAGCAGCTACTTCAACTTGAATGGAGGGCAGAGTACCTGGGCGGAGGCCCTGGCCCTTGGTTGCGTGAGGCCACCATACTGCTGCTGTGCCCAAATTGTTGCCGAGTCAGATGGAAGGAGACGGCTCAGCATAGCCACTAGCCTCAGGGGGGACCTAAGAAACAGTCACTGCCCAGTCTGGGCAGAAGTGGGTCCAGGGTCATGTTAGATGGCCCAGCTTGTCAGAATGGCCACGGGACAGGCCCTTCATGAGCCCTGGCTCTTCACACTTGCTGGACTTGTCCCCTTCACTTCTCAGGGTTCTGAGGAAGTCTCTTCTTTCCGCAGATGCACAGAAATTCAAGACAAAGTTTGAGGAATGCAGGAAAGAGATCGAAGAGAGAGAAAAGAAAGGTAACATGGTGTTCTTGGGTGGGGGCCTCCTTGCAGACTCACTCTGCACCCGGCTGCAGTCCCAGACGGGTGCTTTTTCAGTCTGCCACAGAAACATTCCAGGGACTGCGACTACCTTGACCTGTGCAGGGTGACGCAGCTGCCCGGGGACATGGTGCTTTCTGGGGAGTGAGCTGGCCATCCAGGCCCCAGTGCGTGCTCACTGGCCTGGCCTCGCTGCACTTGGGCCGGTGGGCAGGTTACAGTGTCTGACTGGAGCCCTACAGAGGCTGAATGGACTTTGAGAGGTCCTCCCGGCCATCTGCTTATTCAGGGCCTGACAATGGCTGCCATAGCCAGTGACACACTGAGCAGACTGACTGAGGTCCCAGGCGCGTGTGTGTATTTGGGTGACTGGAGAATGCGATAGAACAGCAGCCTGTCCTGTGGGGAGTGTCAGGCTCCCGCGAGGCAGGTGCATCTCGCTCCCGCATGGGCTGGGGAGAAGAGCGCTTCTCTGTTTTCTTACTGTGTTCCCCGTGTTTCAGGAGGACTGGGCAAAAACGATAATGCCGAGAAAGTGGCTGAAAAGCTAGAAGCTCTTTCGGTGGAGGAGAGCAAGGAGTCCGGAGAGGAGGAGACCAAGGAGAAAGCTGAGGAGAAGCAATAAGTCCTCTGCCCTTGTTTTCTGTTCCTTTTTCCTTTTTTAAAAAAATTCGCCCTGCCCCGTCTTTTCGGTTTGTTTTTATTCTGTTTTGTTTTTACAAGGGACTTTATATAAAGAACTGAATTCCAACATTCAGGTGGGCTTTTTTTTTTTTTTTTTTGAAGTTTTTGCCCTATTGAAGATGACCAGAAAATCCATTCCCCAGTCATGCAAATGTACTGTGCTAACTTTCTTTTCCATAGTGGAAACACTTATTTATAGTCATCAAACATAGTGAATAAACAACTCATTCGAAACCTTCACGGAGGGCAGGACCTTGTGTGCGCTGGCCCTGTCCTGGCAGCTGTGTGGGTTCCTGCTGGCTCCAGGGGGTTGGGGTGGCACCCTGCTTGTTCTACTTGTTCTGCCCTGGACTTTGGGCCACTGTTGGCTCCTGGGGCTGTGGTATGTCTGAGCTGGTACTAGTGGGGCAACTGGGCTGAGGGAGACCAGTGCTGGGTACTGCCTCCTGAAGGCCTCAAGTGCCTTTGCCGGTGGTGAGGAGTAGAGAGGATTTTTTCTTCCTTTGCCTTTGGGGAAGAAAAAGGAAGATCACCAGATTCCTTGGCTGTGGTACAAGGAGGCCAAGCAGGTCTCTAGGCTTTGGCCAAGGCTGTCTCTGGTCGGCCCTCAGCCTGGGAAAGGCCAGTCCCGTAGCACCCAACCCAATCGTGCAGTGCCTCGGCAGGCCTTGGCCGCACCACCATCGTTGGAGAAAACCGTCCCATCGTCCACGTGTTCTCGGCATCCATCTGGGTGGAACTGTGGACACCTGCAATGGCTTTACATAAAAGGATGCTTTCAAAAGTGCAAATGGGGTCGTGCCACTTGGGGGTTTGTCTTGTAGATGGGCTACCTCTGTAGAATCATCCCACGTATGGGAGGAGTCTTAGTGTGCCGGCAGGCTTTGGAAAACATGGTCTCACCTGGGACGGAACGTTCCTGGCAAATAACCAGGCCCCCAGGAGCTGTGGCCTTCCCACCCTCAGCGGGGGAGGAGCAAATTGTGCCCACCCAGATGGACATGCTCCTGCCGCCGGTGGCTGTTTGACACCTACCAGAGGTGCTCTCCAGTGTGGCTAAGTCTAGCTGGGCCCTGTGTGTCCTGTGATGTTTGTCCAGTTTAAACTGTCCGTGGTCACTCAGGGATGCACCTCCAAAGGAAGCCACTCTTGTTTTAAAACTGAAGACTTCACTGGCCAGCTTAGTTGTGTCCTGGCAGCCTTAGGCCCCAGGGCACAGGCCAGTGTCGTGCAGTGGTTTTTCCCACCCAAGGAGGGACACTGAAGCGTGTGCACCGCTCCTCTGGAGTTGGAATTGTGATGCTGTGAGGGCAGATGCCCCTTCCCTGTGAGGCCTCTGTTGGATGCATTATGTGAAAGGGCCCAGGGGCTTGACACGCCTTTCAGCACAGGATGGATGTTACTGTTTTGGGCTCCAATGAAAGCTAGCCCCACCTGATATAAAACCCCAGGCTGACTCCTTGGGCGAGGAGATGTATCTCAAGCAGAGACAGCCCCTCAGAATTGCTGGAGGAGAGTGGTGCTGTAACCAGGGTGCATTAAAGATGCGGCTGTTCACACTACAGAAGGCCCTGCAAGGGGAGACATGCAAGTGTGAGCCCAGGACGCCAGTAGGGGTTCCTTTAACCCCCCTCACTCGCTGCCCCCACCAGTGTGGCACAGGTGATGATGTTAAGCCAGAATTGAGGTGCTAACAATATTGGGGAAGAAGAGATAGGAGATGACCTACAATTTTTTCATTCCTGCGGGTGGGAAGGGGGTTGGGAACGCTGCGCTTTCCTTTCCCTGGGATCTGAACTCCTTGTGTAGAGTATTTCTGGGCTGTGGCCTCACTGGGTCTGCCCCACCCAGGACCCCCTCTGCAGGGACCTCACCAGAGACATGACAGCCAGGATTTGGCACTCCTCGGCTCTCAGCTGTCCTGGCACCCCTACACAACAGGGCCCTACTTTGGGTGCAGTGGGGGAGGGGCCTCTTGACGTGTGGGCCTATGTCCAGGCCCTGTTACCAGAAGTTGTGTGTGTGTGTGTTGGGGGCGGGGGGGGGGGGGGAGCATTCCCTGTACAGGGCTGCAGAAGGGCAAGAACAAGGGTGAAGTGGTGGGGCAGGGTTTGGCTGGTGTGGTGTCCCCTGTCCCGAGGGCCTGTTTGTATTAGGACTGTGGGGCTATGGCATCTCCGCTAGGCTTGAGGCGGGGTCTGCTCCAGGTGGGGTCGGTCCTTTGTCCACCTTTGCACCTTGAACCCACCCCACTGCCCCAGACCCTGTCATAGAGCTAGTCCCCCAAGGGCTGGGCCTCCCGCAGTGGGCAAGGCTACAACTGGATGTGGTGGGAGAAAGCGCATCACCAGATCTGCTGTCAAGCTGCGTTAACGCTGGGTCTGGCCCCCATCCAGGGTTCCTTAATAGTAGCTTGCAGCCTTCGGGCCGGGGCCTTAAGAAGGCCCACCTACCAGCATGGAGGGGCCTCTGGGAGCCACCGGGCCTGTGTCAGCGTGGCCGGAGGAGATGGTCGCTGTGCCTCGCGGTGCCGCGGACAGAGACCCTTGGTGCTCACTGGGGAGGCCTTGGAGCTTGATGGAGGTTCCGACCGCCCAGAGGCGCTGCACTCGCTGCCCAGATGGTCCCGCCCACCCCGCGCCGGCTCTGCGAGGCCGCGGGTCCACCTTAAGCGGCGTGGGCAGGGGCGGGGGATTTCCTGCCGGAGGTGGGCCTGACCACGGGCCGATCCCACGCGGGGCAGGGTGCCCGGGGCTTCCTGAGGGGCACTCCACCCTGCCTCGGGGGCCGAGGGACGCGCCTGGCCCGGGGCCTCTTCCCACCCCCACCCCAGGCTGCAGCTCGGGCCGGAGGAGAGGGACCACTCCCCCTGCCCTGAGGCTGTCCGCTGGCGGTGCTGCTCAGCCAAGTGGCCCGAGGGCTGAGCGGCGGGACGGGGATAAACACCCAAGGTGCCCGCGCAGTGTCACCGCTGACCCCCTGGTGGGGGAGCCCCCGAGGAGCCGGGCCTGGCGCTCCCGAGAATGGCCTGGAGCGCGGGCATCGCCTGCCCGCAGGCACCCGCTGCTCGGGGGCGTTCCGGGAGCGAGCGGTCTGCAGAGGCCCAGGAGGGGCCTGCGGGCTGGACACAGGGTGCCCGGTGTCCTCTACAGTGTCCAGCTGGTGGGCAGGGCTCTGCAGGTGCGACGGCTGTGGCTTAGAGAGCCGCGGGCACTCGCTAGACCGGGGCACCGAGGCGAGGAGAGGCCCGCTTTCTGAGCGTCCCGAACGCCGCGCAGGAGGCCGACCCGGCTCCACCGCGCGCGCAGGGCCCGGTGCGTGGAACTCGGGAGCCCCAGGCTGGGGTGGGCTCCGCAGCCCGCATCCTAACGAGGGCGTGGCGGGGCGGGAGCGTCCTCCTGGGTCTCTGGCCCCGCCCCGCGCCCCCGCCCCGCCCCGCGCCCCCGCCCCCCGCCTGCCGGTCCACCTTAAGGGGCGCGCTGACATCAGTGCGCCGCGGCGCTCCGCCCTGGGGTGGGATTTCTCCTCCTCCGCGCCGCCGCGCGCGGTCCTGCGCCGCGTCAACCGCCCGCCGAACCCGGCACGACCCCGCCGGCCCCGCCCGTCAGGCCCCGGGGAGGGATGCGGCGGCGCGGCGCCCAGGATGCCCCGCAGCCCCGGGACGCGCCTCAAACCCGCCAAGTACATCCCCGTGGCCACCGCCGCCGCGCTGCTGGTCGGCTCCAGCACCCTGTTCTTCGTGTTCACGTGAGTCCGCCGCGTCGCCGGGGGCGCAGGGGCCACAGCCCGGCCAGAGGGGTAGGGACCGGGGGCAGGGACCGGGTCCAGAGGGCTGGGCAGGACAGGGCTGGCACCAGGGGTTTGGGCAGCGTGAGCCCGCACCCTGGGCTGAGGCTGAGGCCGTGAAGGTGCCTGTCCTGGGCACCAGGAAAAGGTGAGTCCCGTGTGCGGGGACACGCGTGCCCCGTGGGCACCTAATGAGTGTGCCAGGCAGGCCCTGGGTGTGAGCCGCTGGGCCTGGGCAGGGGAGTGTGTGCAGTGGCTGCCCAGGGTGTGGCTGCAGCCCTCCCCTCCCCACAGGCTTCAGGAGGGACGTGGGCTGCCCAGAGCCACCAGCCCTTCCTGCGAGGAGCTGAGGATGTGTTCGGCCCCCTCTCCTGGCTGTCGGGCCAGGGGCCAGAGCCGAGTTGTTCCTGAGTAGGTGTGGTCTAGCTCATCTGCCACGTGCCTGCCCCACGGCCCCCAGTGACCCTGGCGTGGCAGCACCCTCCTCCCTTCCTTGACCTTCATAGGAAAGCCTAGTGATCGCAGCTGGAGGGCCCAGGCCGGGCCACACCCAGGGACACTGGCCATGGCGGGCTTTGGAACCCTTGAGGCGGAAGGCAGGCCGGGCTCTGGGCTTTTGCAGCTTTAGACACCGGCTGGCTCACAGATCGGAGTGGTGCTGGCGATGCAGCTGGTCATGCCCCCCTCCCCCCCCCCCCCCCGGGTCTCCTTCTGGCACAGGGAGGGACTGGGGGCTCCAGACTTCAGCCATGCGGGTCTGTGACCACCCCCTTCCACAGGTCCCAGGCTTAGTTAGTCACAGCTCTTGTGACCAAAGCAGCCTGGGGACCTGAAGCCAGTGGGACCTCTGTTCAGAGGCAGGTCAGCCCCGGGAGAGAGTGAATCGGAGGCAGGGTGGGCAGGGGCCGGCATGGCCCCCTTTCACATTAGCCAGAGCGAGCGCGGCTGCCTTGTGTTCGGTGGGTCAGCACTGGGTGTCTGCGGAGGCGGGAGAGCCGTCTACCTGGACTCCGGAGCTGGGTAGGTGCCACCGGCTGCCAAGAGCGTGTTTAAAAAAGGCCTGTGTGGACGGGCTTATTTCTGGCTTTGGTGAGCAGGCGGATTCTTGTCACTCAGAAGCTGCTGACTGTGGGGCAGAGAGGAGAGGGGCAGGTGGGCAGCAGACACCGGAAGAGGGGGGACGAGTCCTGCTGGGTCTCCTGCCGGGGTGGGGCCCAGCGCAGTCCTGGCTCTGGGGTCGGGGTGAAGGGTTTGAGGGGGGTCTCTGCGTGACCATCTCAGTTTCTCATTTCCTACGTGCAATTTAGCATTTTTTTCCTCCCAACTTTCAAAGTAATATGTGTTCTCTATTGAGAACTTGTGAAATGCAGGAAAAAAAAAAAAAGACCATTCAAAAAGAAATTGAAATTGACCTCACCCCAGAGAGCCATTGCCTCTTTCTGTCGGCTCACCTG